CGATCATGGTTGTCGCCTCATTTGTCGCAGCCGGGTTGGTTTGTCCTTCGGCCGTCAGATTTGCTTGGCCTCCGGATCCTCCGGCCATCTTGGTCTTGGAGCGTGTGCCGCTCGCCAGATCTTGGTTCGGCAAATTTCACGGAAGTGATGTTGCAAAGAATCCCTGAGTAGCTCTCATACCATGTTACAATCCCAAGTGGGACTTAGCAAAGGATCGCTCAGGATTGATCGCAGAGTAGTGTTGCAGCGGAAGCTTGAATCTCAGGTCAGAGTGAATGTAAATGACTGAGTGCCGCTCGCGTCTGGTCCAGGCCGGTGTGTAACTCCGTAATTTTCCATACGGAATTATCACCGTTTTCCTCCATTTGGCGATTTATAGGAAGATTTGCGACGAAAATAAATGAATTTTAGGCGCTGGTCATCTTACTGTGAGTCGAGTTGACTGCAGAAATGACGAGGGCTGATTCTGTAGGTCGCGTAATTCTCCCTTAGTCGAAATTCGCGTCTGATCTCGGCCGTTGAGAAGAAATTCGATCCGACGCTCCAAATTCCAACTTTTTTGGGCGAAATTTCTCGAGGACGTTGAGATTCGAATCGATCCGACGGTCGAAATTCCAACTTTTTCGCCACTGGACCTGAGGAGTGTTCGAAAAACCGGTTCGAGGGGGACGTTAAAAAATAGCGCGGAACTGGTTTACGTACCCGTAATCGGCGCTTTTCGTCGTCGCCCCCGAGGTTTTAAAAGCTAGTTTTCAGCGGTCGAAAAACTTCGCTCCTAAACAGGCTCTGATTACCAAGTGTGAGGAACTAGGATCGAGCTCAGAAAAGAGAGATTGAATTGAATTGAATGATCACCTGGGTACAACACGAGGCTATATATAGGCTCGACACAAGGCCCCGTAACCAGGTGTTACGCGAAGGTTCCGCGGGTCGCGAAGCGTCCCGAACAGTTCCTTCCCGAATTCGGTAGAAGGCAATTCGGTGGCAACCGAAAAGCCAGAATTCGGTGCACGCAACCTAGCTCGGTGCTATAACTATAATAAAATATAGGAAAGCACCTAGCCTAGGAAATCAAGCAATTCATGCATGCATATACTTATCCTATGCTAGAAATAGCATAATAAAGTAAATGCAAGCAAGCATAGCTGGCATAAGCCGTCGTACTCTCACAGTAGCCCCCCTCCCCCCTCAGGGTCCTGCTCCCTCAGGTGTGTCTCAGGTAGACCCGCTCCCCGTGGCTAAGCCTGTCGAGGTCGCTGTCGACTCTGGTGCTGCTAGGGGTGGTGCTGCTAGGGGTGCTGCATCTAGGGGTGTTGAGCCTGAGCGTGCGGAGCCTGGGGGTGCTGAGCTTGGTTTGCTGCGTCTGAGGGTGCGGAGCTTGGGGGTGCTGAGTCGGAGAAGAGGGGGAGATGGAGTGGCAGCAGCAGGAAGACCATCAAAGTCAGCCCAGGTAAGAGAAGGAGGCGGAGGAGAGGGGGAAGCTTTGGAGAAGGGGTAGAAAGGGTGAGATACATCAAAGAAAACATCCCGGCTGCGATAGAGCTTGTTGGTGGGAGGATGAAGGAAGAGGTAATCTGGCGAGTCTGAGTTGTTGTTGTTGTTGTTGTTGTTTTTTTTTTTTTTTTGAAAGTGTACACCACAAACATAAGTGCTTACTAACAATAGCGGTCGTAACCATGCGTGAGCGAGCAGAGGCTGTCTGCTCCAATGAAGATTCTAAGGTGGGTTATACACTGTCCTAGGATTGGTCCAGATGGACTCAAAGCATCTGGTCCATGTCCATCTGTTATCGTGTGCCATCCGTATCTTGCCCAGCATACATTGCTCCTCCAGTAATCCCTTCAGGAACTTGTCAGCATTCGCCGAATTTTTCCGCTTCTGCCATGCTGTCGAGCGTGCTTTCGTGTACACTCTTGCATGTTTCCAAAAAGCTATTAGGATCAGCCTCTGATTTCGGCGCGTTCGGAATTTGCGCCCCGGAAAATTGCTTCACACCGCTCCTGCCAGACCTGATACAGTGTAATTGCGATGTTTGTTGCTTCGTGGAAGGCTGTGCTGGTCCCCGCCTTGCGCTGGACTGCGGTCAAACCGTGCTGCGCTGGAGGTCGATGAGCATGTTGCTAGCTCTAGAACCATTGTTGTCGATCTTTGCTAGTGAAACTCTTGCAAAATCTCCCCGTGAATGTGCAGCAGAGAACACACAAACAAAAGACCAAGGAACGCAAAGATCAACCCCACACCCGTGCATAGCCCGTAGTCTAGCTCTCGTTGATTTAGTTATCTTCGCAAATACTCCGTCCTCGAGTCGCGCTCCGCGTTTCATGGTGAGTGTGTGTTGCCTGATATTGTTTGCTCCCACCGAATGCAGAGTAGGTTGTGCCTGGGTTGTCGTTTGCTGCTCCTGACGAGCCTCTCCCGTGCGGGCCTCCCCATTTATTGCAGATAACAACGGACGCCCTTGCACTTGGGGCGGCTGCGCTTGCAAAAAGCCTGCCCAGGAGGGGTCCTGGGCGACCAGGCGCCAGCCCTGCTCCAGGCCGCCGCGGTGCTGGCCGGGCGCGGAGCCTCAAGGTCTTCCAACGGGCACTGTTTGCATTGCCGAGGGTCCCGTGACCCTGTGTACATCTCCTCCCAGACGCACTCATGCGATTCTGCGGTCCGCAACAGCAGCAGACGTTTCGGCACACCCAACGTCTGCAAAACCTCCTGCCTTGCCCTGTTCCCGTGATGTTCCTCTGCGGTGCTTGATGAGGCCTGTCTACATACCCTGGTCTACGGTAGTGGACAGGCCTGGAACCAACAAAGGCAACACGCTCCGCTTGATTAGTTTAAAAGGGAGCGGAGCAGGCGACTGGCTTCATGCAGTGCCGACGAGAGGTGACCTCTCCATTTCCCCTGGTCAGTTCTCATTGGCCCAAGTATGTAGACAGGCCTCATCAAGTAGTGCAGAGGAACATCACGTGATGTTCTCATTGCCCTCGTGATGTTCCTCTGCGCTGCTTGATGAGACCAGAGACCAAGTCCTTGGGGGCCCTTTCTCTCTACAGCACTGGCCTGGTTACTATATTGTCAGTGACCCATGTTTCTCTAAACTTTGGGTCTCTACTTGCTAGATCCGCCCGCCCTCTTACGGTTGAATGGGGGTGAGGATAGGGAGGTCTCATGATAGGTGATGCATCCCGCCTCCCAAACCATCTGCAAATTTGCATATACTAGAGCGCTGTGGGTCCTGACCACATCCCCGCAGTTGCCACAACGGAGGTGGTTTGGGAGGCTTGGATTGGTGTTGGTCGAGCCTGTGCGTTTGCAATGGCAGACGTCAATGACGGCGAGATTCGTGTTCGAGCCGAAGCTGAGGGCCATGGAGAACTGGCCCGAGGAGGTTGAGAGGTCAGCTCTCGTGGGGACGCATATAGCCAGTCGACCACCCCTGCTGCCTTTAGGCTGATTAGGCGCAGTGCATGCCTGTTGTCAGTCATTGCTTGTCCAGCTGTGTATCAGCTAACAACTCCGTGCCTCTGGCCTGGTGGATGTTTTGGGAGAGTAGGGCATGCAGATTACCCTCACTGGGTGTGACCTGAACTGGAGGAGGGCCTCCTGAGCCTCGGCAGTCAGGTCCGCTTCGAGTTGGGAGAGGGTGTTGATGGCCGGTGGAGGCGGCGTTAGGTATGGAAGAGTGTCAGAGGTCCACTGGAGATTCCTGATCAATCCTAGGGAAGGGTTACAGGTACGTTGGCCTGGGGGGTTATGGGCGCACTCACCCGCTACGCAAACAAGCCCTTTTATCCCAGTGGTTAGTGACTGGGATTCTGACAGAGAGGGGGGTCACTGTGTTGAGGATCTGCTCTGGAGGCAGGTTCATGATTGAGTGATATGCAAACTCTGAAGGATCACGAGAACGGCAACACAAACACTGCTGTCAGACAATACCTAGTGGCAGTCCAACGATCCAGTTATGGGTCTTCATGATAAATGTCTTTGGTGATGGTATGCAGCCAGACCAGAACGATCATAAGCTACACAAGCTCGCTGTCATGTATGGCTTTTACCACCTGTCCATCTGTCCCACCATCCCACCCGTCTTGCCCCTCCCCCCCCCCCCCCCCACAAGAAACGTGCTTCCCTGCTTGTGTTGCAGTGCTGGGGGGCAGGTGCCACCGCAGGTTCAATTTTAGAGAGGGTAGGACAGCGAGGATGTGGTGCGAGGAGGAGGCGGTGTAGGAGGGAGTGAAGAGGAGTCACATCAGGAGAATGAGGATGAAGGATGACCTAGGGTTGCATGGCGGGTTCCAGTGAGGATAGGGTGCGTGATTGTGGGGCATCAAGTGCAACAATAGCAGGGGCAACAGAGGCTGGGTGGGTGGCGCCACTAAAGGAGCTTAGGAGACGAAATGGCTGAATCAGCAGAACAAACATCTCCGCTTTTACGATACACAGTTTTGAAAACTCCATGTTTCACACATTCTAATGATAAATTTAAAGAACTAGAGTAAATCATATCACGGCACACAAATAACCTTTCCTCCTACTGTTCCAGCACAAGCGTTACCGTTGTAGTCTGCAAACGCCGCACTAGCAGCAGCTCCTCCACCATAAAAGCGGTAAGCACCTGAACATGTCAACGTTGGTGCAACTCGCTTGGCCCTCCCCTTGTTGCACAAACCTAACTGGAATGACCAATACTCTGCGCTGAGGCAGATCTGGGATCGCAAGATGTATGTAACGAATGTGCATGAAAGTGTTAGCATGTAGGAGACACAAAACATGAAAGGGATATTCTGACAAGGAACGCAAGACAGAGGCAAGGGCAACGTGTGCTCGGCGAATCTTTGCATGGAAGTGGAAGCAAGCATTCTGTAATGATAGCTCCTTGTGGTTGAGTGCACAGAAGATCTATTCCTGTTATTGCTCTCCCATCTTTGATTCTTTCCTCCCCCCTTTCCAAAACCCCCATTTTCACCACCTTCCGCACACCCTCTCCTCATACTCACAGCCCTCACCTGTACGCCAATCCTGCTGCCTGTCGCGTAGGCAGAGGAAGGGATGGTGTTGGAGCAAGTGAGGCCGGGATTGTTGCGGTACAGCGCAGCCCATGGGTTCTCACTGGCACCCCCTTGTGTAGTGCCACCCGAAGGGGGGACACTCGTGCTGGTCCTCTTAAGCAGCTTCTCGCACGTGTCTTGCGGAGTGAGCGTGCCGTATCTCACACACTCAGGGACGGTGAAGGCGAAGGCATCACTGCGCTCGAGGCACACAGAGCGGCCCGCCTTGATGGGCTTGGAGCAGTCAAGTCCGGGGTTGAGATCAGCGAGATCAGCTTCAGTGAAGTTGAGCTGCCTGCTCATGGATGCACAGGTGTCCCCCTGGAGAGTTGGGCAGAGGCAGGGATGTTGATGGTTGTTGCTTGCTCCATGATCAGTGACATAATGCAATGTGCTTAGTGAGAAATGATGCTATGTGTTGAGATGACTATGCCAGCTGGTTGTGTGCATAGTTTGACTGGGGAAAGAAAGGAAGAGGTCTCACATTAAGGGTGTAGAAGAAGGCAGTGCAGGGTGTGTCGGGAGTATTAGCCAGCTGAAGGACACTGCCCTTGAGCAATGGCTGGCTGCAGTCGATGCCCTGCATTCGGAAACACATGCATGAATGAGAGGTTTGTACTAAACTCGACAAAGGCCAGTCTTCCTCTCCATACCGGGTGCAGGAAAGTAAGGCTCTCATACCAAAGTACCTCATAGCGAGAAAGAAGAAAAGGGAAAAAAACAAAAAAAAAACCCTGTCAATGATGGTTGAAAGTGTTACGTCAATGATAGGAGAATGAAAGAACGTCTCATCGAGTTAAAACAGGACCCTGCAAGGGTGAAAGGAGGATATATACTCTAAACAGAGGACATGCTGCTGGGAACCAACCGGCAGTGCAGAGAGAACTCAGGGGTACGTTGAAGCAAGATCCAACGGATGAAGTGATGTAAAAACAACCTGATATAGAAAATATGAATGATGGTTTGTATAAGTCACCTCATCTTCACCCACCGCGTTTTGGTCAGTGAAGTCAGTGAGTGAGAGGTCAACAAGTGGATGAACATCCGAACACAACCAGTTGTCTCCAGTGACTGTCATTGTGGTGGCTGTGGTATTAACTGCAGGCAAGAATGGGGAGTGAGATGCAGGCAGAGAGAGAGAGAGAGAGAGAGAGAGAGAGAGAGAGAGAGAGAGAGAGAGAGAGAGAGAGAGAGAGAGAGAGAGAGAGAGAGAGAGAGAGAGAGAAGATCTTCAACGTAATGCCAACACCTATTGCTGCAAGTTCGTCATGAAGGTATAGCACACAGAAAAACTCAATCAAGACCACAGACATTCTGGGAGGCAGCTACTTGGGCTGCTCAAGCATCACCTGGATCGCAGGTTGGGAAGCCGTAAATGGTTATGCTTTCTACGTGATTGGGAGGGCAGATGCAGGAGTAGGAGCCCTTGCCATCGTTGATGCATGCTCCCACGTAGCAGGGGTTCTTGAAGTATGACCCACACACGTCCACTGCCACACGTGTACCGGGGAGGCGGATAGAACAGACAATGGGGAAAGAGGCAAGATAAGGGGTAGATTTGAGAAGGAGAGTAGAGATGCAGAAGTAGTAGATGTGCGAACTTTGTTGAAGTTGAGAGGAGGATCTTAGAAAGGTTGGAAGTTTGGGAAATAGTGAATGCATTAGAAAATGCAAGAGCCCAAGATACGAAAGCAAGGGTAGGAAAATTTGCTGCACCGCCAAAAAAGGTTGACATTATGTATGCTGAGGCTTCTTACAGACACGAAAATGGGGCAATGGGGAGGAGAGAGGGGATATGTGGGCAGAATAGAGCGGGAATATGAGATACGAAAGGGGAGATTGCAGTGAAGAGTGGAAAGAAAGGGGGAGACGAAAGAGGTGAAATGGGGAGTAAGAGAGGGGAGTCAAGTAACCAGGTCAACGCAATAGCAAAACTGTCCTTGATGATGATAAGAATAGCATTGGCTAGTGCTGCTGCGTCAGCATTGCTCACCATGTTCACATAATAAGTTGACCTGAGATTCACATGGCGATCATACCTGCTGGCCTGCACTACTTATCACATTCATTTTGAAAATGCTCGAAAGTGTGGAGGCGTTTCATTGCCACACAGGCTAGGCCAAGCATAGTGTGGTATCAGTAGTGCAACCTCATTGCTCTACTTGCAACTGGACATACCATAAGCACATGTGGTGAAGCCATCTCCATTCACCACCTGTACAAAAGGCTGCACAGTAGCGGTGGGAATGTTGCAGGTGCAGTTATTCGTGCTCTCTGCTGTCACGCCACATTTGAATCGGCCACACGGATTCATAACGGGCTGCGGCCGATCTCCCTGGTAGCTGCTTTGACCACAGGGGTCCCCTGGAACTGGGAAATGATGGAGAGGAGAAGATACACTTGAAACACGTTGATGGAATTGGGCAAATATTACTCTCCGTCAGTTTGATCCAAGCATGTTTGAGTCACACAAAACAGGGGCTCAGTATGGTTCAAAACTATCTGTAGACACAAGCAAAAACCGAGTTGCAATTCGGTTTGTGTATGCTCCAACTTGCAAAAACGCTTCACAGGTTGGAGCAGTTATGTTTGGTTCAACCAGGGAAACACATGCTTTCTATCTCTTCGAGCAATCTAATATTTCTTCCTGTTTTTCTCATTTCCACCATCCATCACAATCAATACAACTACCGGGTAAATGCCTCACTCTTGACAACGGGGTAGATGCCAGGCAGCACGTTGATGCCACACACGCCATCCCCTCCCTGAATGTCCATGCGTATGTGACCCTTGTCGCCCCACTCCTCTCCCCACGAGTTGCGAATAATCCAAAACGGAGGAGCAATGCGGTTCTGGCTGCCGTCATTTCTCGTAATGAAGTACCCAATAACGAGTACAACATGGTTGAGACTTCCTGTATAGCAATCAGGATCCTGGTATTTGTATGTCTGATGTGGCATGGGGTAGAACCAACCACAGAAAAGGCAAAAAGCACGAGTTCTTTTGCCAGAGTCAAAGTGGACGTTCAAGGAGAGATTAGCTCTGTATATTCCTGAGTTTTTTCAATTAAATTCTGGGTGGCCATTCACAAGGTGACAGCACGACGGTATGCTGAATGAGGGCTGAAGTGGTTCACTCACCCCATCATACATCACGAACGTGGCAGCAGACGCCTGGATGTGAACCACCACTGGCTGGTTCTGCACTGCCATCATGAGCCCCACATACCCCTTGAACCGCGCTCGCTCGAACGACTGCACCGGGTACGTTGTTGCCTGGGATGGGCCAGGAGATTTGCATTGGGAATGGGGTAGTAGAGGGTGGGAGGGAGGAGAAGAGAGAGAGTTATGGAGTGTGAATGAATAAGGGGACAGAATAAAGAAAACCCAACATGTCTCCAACAAATCGCTGTCATAAAGTTTGAAACACACTAGAAGTTTGGTTACTCTGGGAAAAATGGCCTCGTTTCCTGAAAAGACACTTCTGTTACAAGCTAGAATAACCTACGAAAAGCAAACAGTGTTGAGTCATGAATAGCAAACGGCTCTCATATCGCCAACGCGATTACTGGCGCGAGTACAGCTTCATGCCTATATCTCACGGCTAATTCTGTTTGCCCTACCGGGTCACTGTCCCCTGTGAGCCCACTGGGAGGCATCGAGAGCCACAAGCTTCTCAAGGGCCTGCGTGGGGGAGCCGCCAGCGGAGCACTTG